GCTTTATTCGGACTCATCCTTTCACTTAGAGTCACTTCGGCTCATCTTTCCACATAGACCCTTGTCTTTCTTTTATTCGGACTCATCCTTTCACTTAGAGTCACTTCGGACTCATCCTTCCACATAGACCCTTGTCTTTCCTTTATTCGGACTCATCCTTTCACTTAGAGTCAATTCGGACTCATCCTTCCACTTAGAGTCACTTCGGGCCTTCGGCCCTCGTGTTTCTTTCATTCGGACTCATCCTTCCACTTTGGTCCACTAAAAACAAAATTTTATAAAAGTTGAAGCAAAACTGCTTCGAAATCAAAAATTTGGAAAACTTGAAGCAAATTTGCTTCAAGTTTCGAAAATTCAAAACTCGAAGCAAATTTGCTTCAAGTTTCAAAAATTCGAAACTGAAGCAAAAATGTGAAGCAGAAGCATGCTTCTGCTTCGGATCCATAACAGGATCCAGCTTATCACCCCACAAAATTTTTCCCAATATACAAAATTCACCCCTAAGTTCTTCGCCGGTTTGCCCGGCATGGTCAGAGACGGAGAAAAATTTCTCCTCTCTTCCTTACATTTGACCTGTCAATCATTTTTCTTCCCTCTCTCCCATCATTCTCCGGGTACTGTACTCAGCCCCACAAATTTTCGAAGCTCTGTACATTCGTCAAAATGTACCGAAAAAGTTCGAAAAAAATATTTTTATATCCAGCTCGATGAGAGCTTTCGATAGATATCTCATTTGCCCTATTTATACCCACTTTGAAAAAATATTTTTTTCGGCCGAGAATTTCAGCCGAAAAAAATCACTGAAATTTTTAAAAAATCATATCTCGCCCAAAGTAAACCTTTTTTAAAAATTTTAAAATTCTATAAGATGCAGAAAATTCTGCTCTATCCAAGAAAAATACTGTCGGCCAGAACTGCCGGCAAAAATCCCGAAAAAATTTCGAAAAATCAAAAAATTTGGGGTTTTTCGAAATTAGACCCCTACACCTCCAATTTCGAATTTTTTCGAAATTTTTTAGGCTCAAAAAATTTCTAATTTTTTACTCTATTTTATAAAGCAAACCCCATCACATTCCGATAATCCCACAAAAAGTTATGATCCCCTAAAAAATCCCTCATATCCCCCAAAAGGGGTACCCCTTTTGAAAAATTCGAGGGGTCAAAAATTTTCAAATTTTGACCCAAAAATATCCTATATGGTGCATTGATACGCGCTGAATCCATATCCGTTGTCAGAAAAATTTTTAAAAAATTTTAAAAAAAGTTATAGTCCAAAAAATTTCGCGACATTTGCGAACATTGGCCATAACTTTTTCAGACTCAAACGGACCCCCGACATATTATACCTTTTTCGGACCGTCAGGGGACGCTCTATAACATAGGATATTGAAATCGAGTTTCAATTCAGTTTTCGCTCCGAACTTCGACTTTCAGCTTGATCCTTTATCCCACTAAGTTCCCCTCATTATCCCCTCTTGAATGAGTACTCATTCGACCCCACTTCCCAATCCCGAAAATACCGGATTTCGAAGTTCGAACTCCGAACTTCGACTTTAGGCTTAATCCCTTATCCCATTAGACTCCCCTCAGTCCCAGCTCTTGAATGACTACCCACTCACCCATATCCCCCAACCTCGTAAATCCGGGATTTCGAAGTTCGAACGCGAAACTTCGAATTTAGACTTTATCTTTTATCCAGATAGACTCCCCTGATAATCCCCTCTTGAATGACTACACACTTGCGAATATCCCCAAACCCCGAAAATCCCGGATTTCGAAGTTCGAACACCGAACTTCGAATTTCGACATTATCCCTTATCCCATTAGACTGCCCTCATTATCCCCTCTTGAATGAATACTCATTCGACCATGCTTCCCAATCCCGAAAATACCGGATTTCGAAGTTCGAACTCCTAACTTTGACTTTCATACTTATCCCTTATCCCATTAGACTCCCCTAATTATCCCCTCTTGAATGACTACCCACTCATCCACATCCACAAATCCCGAAAATCCCGGATTTCGAAGTTCGACTTCGAAATTGGACTTTAATCCTTATCCTTTATCCCTTTAGACTCCCCTCACTCCCAGCTCTCGATTGACTACCCACTCACCCATATCCGAAAAACCCGGATTTCGAAGTTCGAACTCCAACTTCGACTTTTATACTTATCATATATCCCATTCAACTCCCCTCATTATTCGCTTTCGAATGACTACTCATTCGACCATATTCGAAAATCCCTAAAAATCCCGAAATCCCGGATCCCTAATTTCGAAATCCCCATATAATTCCCCCCAACTAACCTTCACTCAACTCGAAACTTGCTTAAGTTTCGAAATCCAAAAATTTAAACTCGAAATTTCTTCCCATCAATCAAAATTTCTCTCTCAACTATGAGATTTGCCCCCTGGCTTTCCTCAATTTAGAGAAATCCGACAGTTATCGGTAAGACAATTTTCTTACAAAAATTTTTGCCCCCCTATAAGTACCCCTAAAGTTCGAATTTCGAATTTGAAATTTTTCCTACCTATATCTACCTGTTCTAACTTAATTTCCTACCAGCAGAAATTTTCCGCTAGCTTTATCCGTTTTCGAGTTATTTTCGAAAAACTCGAATTTTAAATCCCGACACATGCGACAATTCACAGGAAATGTCTGAATTTTGTGTCAAGCATAACTACCCTCCAAATTCGAATTTCGACTTCGAGTTTTTTCCTACATATATTAGCTTGGTCCAACTTAAAATCCTACCAGCAGAAATTTTCCTCTAAGTCCACTCAGTCCCGAGATAGCCCCGGCACCTATATTATTTAGGTACCATGGGGGTTCCAAAATCTTCCGTCCATAATTTTCCTAGGTGCGGCATAAAATTTGACCCCGGACATGTCAAACTTTCATGCCCGTATCTCAACTCTGTAAAGAGCTTTAATTTTTCCGACAAATTTTACCAATACTTTTATATAATATATTAAAAAATCGGAAAATAAAAAGAATGTTAAATAAATGTTTTTTTTCTCTAGTAAATATATTTAACGCTAATCCGGAAAATTATAAAATAAATATTCCGGACGGAAAATAGTAAATTAAAAGTTTTCCGGAAAATAAAAATTACTATATTTTTCCGGAATTTTGTTTATCGAAAATTTGTCCGAAAATTGAAAAGTAAGCTAAACTTGTTTTTCCGGACTGGAAAATAAATTATAGCGATTTTCCAGAAAGTTACAAATTGGAGGAGTTTTGTTTCCGGAAAGTGGTAAATAAATTAAACTTGTTTTCCGGAAAGTTGTAAAATTAATGAACTTGTTTTCCGGAAGGTTGTATAAATTAAATAAACTTATTCCTTAAAACTTAAAAATAAACTTGTTTTCCGGAAAGTTAGAAAATAAATTAAACTTGTTTTCCGGAAAGTTGTAAAATTAATGAACTTGTTTTCCGGAAGGTTGTATAAATTAAATAAACTTATTCCTTAAAACTTAAAAATAAACTTGTTTTCCGGAAAGTTAGAAAATAAATTAAACCTGTTTTCCGGTAAGTATAAATTAAATATATATTTTTCCGGAAAGTTGTATAAAATAATATATTAAACTTGTCCTTAAAACATATAAATTAAACTTGTTTTCCGGAAAGTTTAATTTAAACAAAACATACAGCAGTGCTGTCTGTCCACTCAAAAACACTCATCGTATTATCATAATCACTCTTCATTTGCGGGTTTATAGCACAATCCAAGAGGAAAGTATTTAATCTATTGACTGTTAGGGAAGACGGGGTTTGTTGTGGGAGCTTTTTTGCTTCGTTTTCTAATCGTCTTTAAATTTAAAAAATTTTTTTATTTTTAAATTTAAATAGACTCGTATTCCACAGCCATTAACCCTCCCAATCTTTCACATTCTTGCAGTACACTTTCCAAATTTGGAATTTCTTCAGAATTTTGTTGAGTGGACAACCTCCCAACCAACAAATTATGGCTAGTTAAGACGATATTTTTTAAGGTTTTGAGGTGGTCCAGACCTTCAAAAAAAATTTTTTTAGAGAAATTTTTTGAAAGAAAACGAAGCTGTACTTGTGGGTTATCCAAAAATGTTTTTGCGGACATACTTTGCGGACTTACTTATTTATATAAGAATGGTCATTTTCTTCGAGGAAATAGAATGGAAGAGGAAGGTCTGATAATAATGTGTATGTGTCCGTAAAAAAATATGTCCGCAGAAAAAATAAGTCCGCAAAATTTTGTCCGCAAAAAATTCGTACGCAAAAATCTGTCCGCAAAAAATTGATCCGCAAAAAAATCGTTCGCAAAAAAATTTGTCCGCAAAAATAAGTCCGCAAAAAATTTCCGTCCGCAAAAATATATCCGCAAAAATATGTCCGCAAAGATTTGTCCGCAAAAAATCGTCCGCAAAAACTGGTTAGGGATAACCCACAGGTATTCAACAAACATATTTTAATGGATTCATAAACATGACGGGCATCCTGCTCCATTAAAAAAATTTCTTTTAGTTTTTAAAAATGCTTCAAATTTGTGCTTCTAAAATTGGTTAAAATTTAATTGAAAAATAAATAGAAAATAAACTTGTTTTGCAAAAAATTTTAAAACTTTAAAAATGATATAAATAAAAATAAAAACAATTTATAAACTTAAAAAAGGTCAATGAAAGACAACATAACTCTTAAGAGGAAAGGCGCCCCGCGGCCAAAACGGCGCAAAGCCATAACTTGTTGGGAATTTCTGGCCCTTATCAATTTTGGTACCAATCTCTCTAGCTCGATGAGAGGAATTGTTTAATACTAAATTTACTAGGAAAGGTTGCGAGGTGTCCGACCTATAAACGGTCGAGACAGGGCTCATTCGATAGAGAATATGCCCTTTCTAGCAAGGATTTTGTGGCGTTTTTGCCCGTTTTTTGATCTGGCCAAGGTATGGCCCTCCAAAGTATGCCTTTGCGCCGTTATGGCGCGCGCCTTTTTGGGCATGTCCATTTTAAAATATTCTTTTTTATTGTCCAGTAATCTGCTCCTTCATTTTTCTAATTTTAACATAAAAAATACGACCATCATTCCAATATTTATTGCAAAATGTAAATCTCACTTTTGGATTGTAAACATTTGAAATTTGATAGTTTATATGGTCTTCATTATTTAATCGTTTAATCCAAATTTTTTCTGCTCTATCGCTTAATTTAAAACGTGGTTTAATAGATTTATATGGAATTGGCAGTCGAGGAAAGCCTGGGTCAGACTAAAATTAATTAAAATTAAAGAAATTAGTCAATAAATATTTACTATTGTAATTCTTTTAAATTTTAGTCTAGCCAATTCCCCCTCATATTTATTAATTAAATTGCAAAAGTAAAAATTGGTTTGTTTAATATCAAATAATTGGTTGAAATTAAGACATTTTAATACATCAAGTTGAACTTCAAATGGAAGAGAAAACATTTTTAATTATCTAAAAAATAGGAAAAAAATCCAAATCTCTTAAATGTATTAAAAATAAATTTTCAGGCTTCAACCTGTTAAAAACAACAAATAAATTTTATAAAAAAATAATTTAATCAAAAGTCAATGAAAAACAAAAAATAATGTTGTCCAATATAAATCGGCACTTGTGTAGTAGACCCACAACACGACCACAAAAGAAGAGAAAATCGATTCCTTCTCCATTCCTATTTTCCTCTTTATAATAAAGGAGAGAAGGGGCGGGGCTTATGGGAGGGAAACTACACAAGTACCAATAAATTAAATTTTCGCTTTTATTCTCTCAAACTTTAATTTTTCTGATTTGAATATAAAACGATCCATCATAACCCTCTCTATTGTAAAATTCAAATCTCGCTTTTGAATTATGAATATTAACAATTTGGTATTTTGTAGAATTGTTACCATTTGACTGATCAATTTCAATTTTCTCTGCTCTCTCGTTTAATTTAAAATTTATTGCTGAAATCCTATCAAAATGAATAAAAGGTACAATTTTTGAACAGTCTTTAGATGTTGTTACATACTTAAATTTAAAATTGTTTTTAACTTAGTTATAAATAGATAAATGGTACATCGGGTCCCACCAATCGATTTTAAGAAGAAAAATAAATTTTAAGGTGTCTCCCCAATTCTGCATTACTCAGATAACTTACTTTTACAATAAGATTATAAAGACTTGTCGTCTGAAAATTTAAAGAAATTTTTGGAAATTTATTGCCCTCATTTATTAAAATATTGAATAAAATATCAGTATATTGCTCTGAAGTAGCATCCAGATTGATGCTAAGAGACTCAGAAATTGATAAATGATTTAAAGAAAATTTCAAAGCACTTTCAAATATTTTAGTGACAGTATAATTGCTACATAGAATAACTCTTTTAATGTTAAACTGAAGAGGAATTGTTTTGTCGTCATCAAATAATATATTGATCATTTCTGGGTTAAATATGTTTTTATAGAAAGAAGCATATCCAAAAGCACAATTAAAAAGTTTTTCCAACCAACAACGAACAATAATCATTTCTTTAATATTTTTTGGAATGATTGGCAATTTTAAAACAGAATGGCATTTTTCGTTCACTAAATAGAAATATAAAGATCAGATGGTTAGTAACCTAACTTATAATTTAAAAAAAATCGGAGGGTATGTTAATCGATGACCGGTACATCATTAGATTCGTCTCGGCGAGCTGGGTCGAATAATACCACTCCCAGGGTACAAAAAGCATGTGGACCGAGGCTGGGCTAATTTTGCATTTTTTAGAGCGAAAAGTATTTTTAGATTTTGCCCAGCCTGCTGTGGACAGAGATAAAGGCCCCTGATATTTTCAAGGTTCAGTAAAATTTTGATTTGTCGCTCCATAACTTGTCCAATATTTTTTGGAATGATTTATGTATTTTTTTCGTGCTTTGAAATTTTGCCCCTCACCAACCTATAGCAATACAAATACATTCTCTGTTAGGTTCAAAATAATGTAGAAACAACGGAATCGATTTGTCTATCGCTGCCTGCCACTGAAAATAAATAGAATTTCTAATTTAAAATTAATTTCACCTTATTTTTAAGTTGATCAAGCAAAGTAAATTCAAAAATTCCAGATTCAGGTTCAATAAATTCAGATGGATGTAACCCTACAAGCATGTAATGGTCAACCTAAGATTAATTTAAATAGAGAAAATATTCAATAAATAGCACATACTAATGCTATTTGAATAAATTCCTGTCGTGCCAGTTCTCCCTCAAATTTATTAATTAAATTGAGAAGGTAAAGATTGGTTTGTTTAATATCAAATAATTGGTTGAAATTAAGACATTTTAATACATCAAGTTGAACTTCAGTTGGAAGATAAAGCATTTTTAATTGACTAAAAATAGGGAAAAATTTAAATTTTATTCCTAAAATTTGCATAAAAATTCGTAAATCTTTAATGAAAATGGAAAAACAGTGCAGAAGAGCACTAAAAAAAATTTTGGGACCAAATGTCTCTCAAGACTGAAACGTCCCCCTTTCCCCCCTCTTTTGGCAAAATGAGATTTGTCTCTTCGCTGTCTTTCAACGCGCATCGTCTAACTTTCCCCGACAAATTTTTTTTTTGCTGATTCAAATTTATCGATTATTTACTCTTAACTATCAAGTACACTTGAAAAGTCGTTCAAAATTTTTTACAAATTCATTTAAAAAATATTTTCCCCCATCAATGGGTGAAAATGATTTAAAACAACAAATTGATACTTTAATACGCAGTTATCCAGATTTCCCGTCCAAAGGAGTTCTTTTTAGGTCAGATAATTTACTAATATGTTTGAGTCTGGTAAAAGATAAATTGAGTTTTATGTTGGGACTCAAGTGACGAAAAGTAAAAATCAGACCCGAATCTATATATCAGACTTGAGAGATCTGAAAGGAGTCTTAGAAATCCTAAAATAAGTCTTTTAATGAGACTAGAGCGTCCAAAACGAGTTACAGAAAACTCAAATGACTAAAGGATCAAATACTCAAAAAATTTAGGGTAGTCCCAAATAGGCGCAAGGCCAAGTAGGCGCAAAGTTATAACTTGCTTCAATATTCCCGAATCTTTCAAAATTTAGTATTAAACGATTCCTCTCATCGAGCTAAAGAGATTGGTACCAAAATTGTTAAGGTCAGAAATTTCCAGCAGGTTATGGCTTTGCGCCTACTTGGCCACGCGTCGACTTGGGCGTATTCCAAAAATTTAACTTAACTAGAGTCATATTATTGTATTTAACGATATTCTTAAGTCTGAGTACACCTAATTTCTCATTTAAAAAATATTTTTATAGAGATGTACTCCCACTATTCTCCAAACCTACACTTGTCCGTTCCCTGTGTTGCTATGTTGCTAATCGTTATAGAGACAGAATTGATTTAGTAGCTGGATTGGAAGCAAGGGGTTTTTCGAATGTTGATACTCAAAAGAACTAAATTTTAAAGGCTTTCTTTTTGGCCCAATCATTGCTTTGGAATTGGGCATTCCTTTTGTTCCAGTACGTAAACAAGGAAAGCTTCCTGGCCCCGTAATTTCTGCAAGTTATCAGAAAGAGTATGGCAAGGATGTTTTTGAGGTGCAACAAGATGCGCTGTTAGCCGGGCAGCGGGTTTTGATTGTGGACGATTTGCTAGGTATGTTAAGGTGCGAGACTCTAATGTACCTAGAATTCGGAGCGGGTCGGTAGAGTACTGTGAGCCTTCATTAGAGATCGGCCTAGGTCTGAATCAAGGCTTGGGTTTCTCCTGTACCCAGAGTCCAATCCAGGCATTTTTTGACCTTCCTGGGTTTTTCCTGTACTACAGGCCCAAGTTACGGCCCAGGTCAATAAATCAAACCAAGAGTCCAGGAACAAGTCCAGGCTTTTCAAAATTTCGATCTCTAGTCTTCAGCTTAGACTCTAGTGTGCAGGTATAAAGTTGATTCCTTAGTTTGGACTCAATATCCCTTTCATTGAGGTTTGAGACTCTATTGTACCTAAATGTGGAGCTGGTCAGTAGAGTACCACCAATTGAGTCCCGGGCTTAGACTAGTGTCCACGTTTATTGTCATTGGACTCTAATAACCCCTGCAAGGTCAGGACTCTAACCCCCTTTAAATTTAGCCACTGGAGGGTCTCTACATGCAGCAGAACAATTGGTCAAACAAACAGGGGCAACGGTTTATGCAAACTTTGTTGTAATTGAATTGGGAGATTTAAATGGACGGAAAGTTTTGGGGAGTGAAGTTGATGCTTTTTTGACATATTAAAGAAGAATTTTTAAATTTCACTTAAAAATAGGCTCAACCTGTTTACTAACAATTGATAAATATCATTAAATCTTCTATTTGCTGTAGGCACCAAAGCTCTAGCTCGATAAGAGGACCTTGTACTCCCTTGGAGTTGAAAAACCACTACCGTGGTGTAGTGGTTAACACACCCAACTTGCACCTAACGGAGGACTAAGGTTCGATCCCTGACGACGGTTTTTGGGTGTTTTAGTGTAGTTCAGCTTTAATCTTAAGAAAAATTCTGTTTTTATTTGATAGTTAATTAAATCTGTAAAAATAGCCTGAATTAATTTTGTTGAATATATCCGAGTTTAGGCAGGATAATTGAATTTTCAGAGGTAAAAATTAATTTTTTTGGGAGATTTTTCAGACAAAAATTTTTTCATGATTTTCCAAAAATTTATATCTTTACATCATTTTATAGAAAATTTAATTCTCTTCCAAAAGGTATATCGACCTTCCATATTAGTTTTAATTTTGTGGAGTTATGTAAGTCTAAAGCTATCCAACTTGCAACTCTGCAAGCTGCACAAACAAGGGAAACTGAAGCATAAAATTAAAATAAAAAAAAATTTTTTCTTAATTGTCTCTTAATTTTTCCTTAATTTTTAATAATTTTCCAACACTAAAAAAATTTATCTTTTGAAAAAATTTATAGAAAAAAAATTTTTTTGTCAATTCATTTTAACATCAATTAATTCACCCTCAATCTCATTAAAAATTAATTTAAAAAAAAATAATTTTTATAAAAAAATTAATTTTTATAGAGAAAAATTAAGAAAAAAAAGTCAATTTAACATTTTACAATATTGAATCAACGCAAATATTCATTAAATGAACGTCAATCTCTCCTATTTTTTTATTTTTCTTATTTTTTTGCCTCCCCAAGGCCGACTAAAGCCTTAAAACACGCATAAAATACTTGAGAGAATAAATGTTTTTATAAATTAATTTTTAAAAAAATTAATTTTTTTTTGGTTAATTTTTGTTTAAAATGTTGGTAAATGTTGGAATTTTATTTTTGGGACATTACTCATTTTTTGCAAAAAAAATTAATATTTTCTTTCATAAAATTGTTTGTTCCACATTTTTGCTTAAATTCATAACTGTTTTGTGTTTTATCTTCTATCAACTTTGTATTTTAAAATAAAAAATAAACTTGAAATTAAACTTTTTCCGGAATGTGTTTTCATCCTTTTTTCCTTAAAGTTATAGATAACTTTCCGGAAAATACATATACCTATTCTATTTTTTTCCGGAAAGAATTTACATTGTATTTTACTGTAGTTATAGTTATATTATATTTTCCGGAAGTGTATTTGAAATTAAACTTTTTCCGGAATGTGTTTTCATTTATTTCCTTAAAGTTATAGATAACTTTCCTGAAAATACATATAATCTTTTGTTTTCCGGAAAGTTTATTTTATTTTTTTCCGGAAAGAATATACATGGTATTTTACTGTAATTATATTTATTATATTTTCCGGAAGTGTATATAAAATTAAACTTTTTCCGGAATGTGTTTTCATTTATTTCCTTAAAGTTATAGATAACTTTCCTGAAAATACATATAATCTTTTGTTTTCCGGAAAGTTTATTTTATTTTTTTCCGGAAAGAATATACATGGTATTTTACTGTAATTATATTTATTATATTTTCCGGAAGTGTATATAAAATTAAACTTTTTCCGGAATGTATTTTCTAGTGTATTTTATATGTATATTTTCAAGTTTTCCGGAAACTGTTTCTAATAGCTTTCCGGAAAAAATAATTCAAGTTTTACAAAAGACGTGTTGTTATTTATTTAAGCCTGTTTTCCAGAAATGCTTCTTTCTATCGTATGTTTTTTTAATTAATTATATGTATATTTCTCCCTAAAATTTTCTTTGTTTTTTAGTTAAAAATAAATTTTTGCCTAGACCACCCCAAAGTATCCATTTCTAATTTTAAGTAAATAATCTTTTTTTTTTGTCATTTCTTTAAATTTTTTCCCTTTCCGATTGCCTAATTCTTAAAAGATTAGCACATTTATATTATTTCTTTAATGTTTGCTTTTCAGATTTTCTGGTTAATATTTTTTGTTTAAATTTATTAGTTAAGTAACTAATGTATTTTTTTATAAAAAACAGATGGTAATTTTGAAATAAATTTAAAATTTATTTGTGGGATAGTAAAATCAGCATATTTTCCGGAAAGCATATATAAATTGTATTTTCTTATAGTTATATTTATTATATTTTCCGGAAAGTGTATTGAAAAATAAACTTTTTCCGGAAATTGATTTAATCTCTTTTTCCTGAGAGTTATAATTAACTTTCCGGCAAATAGGGTATATTTTATTTGTTTTCTGACAAGTTTATTTTATTTTTCCGGAAGTAATTATTTTACTTGTTTTCCAGAAGGAATTAAAGTGTATTTGTATTTTTGTTTTTAATGTGTTTTAGTTTTTGTGCTCAATTAAAAATAAACTTTTTCCGGAAAGAGTTTCGTCTTTTTCACGAAAGTTAAAATCAACATTCCGGAAGGTATATTTTATTCGTTTTCCGGAAAGTTGTGTTTTTGTTTTGTGTTTTAGTCTTAGTTTTTCTAGTTGTTATAGGTATAGCCATCTTTCCGGAAAGGTATAACTTCTGTGTGTTTAATTTATTTACTAGTTTCCGTAACAAGTTACTTGTTTCCTTTTTTGTTTCTACCTTTAATGTGTTTTAGTCTTTGTGTTTTTTCTACTTGTTGTTAATTAATGTACTTTTATTCAATTCTGAAAAATCAAAAGCAAGTTTAATTTTAAACCAACTTTTTTTGCAAATAAGTCCTAACAATAGAAAATTACTTAAAAAAAGAAGATTGCTAAATTTTGCTAACGGAAAGAGCAAAAAGCTTTTTTTGCTTTTAATTTTTATTTTTCTTTTGTTAAATTTTAAACTTGATTTCTTCCTTTTAAAGGGGTTTTATTTATTATTTTTTTTCTATTAATTTTTTCTGCTTATCTTCCCCCCTCCCCCAACTATCTAAATAATAAATATTATAAAAATTCTTGGATTTTAATTTCCCAAATTTTTTTTATTTATTTTATTATTTTGGTGCCACAGCTGGTCAATTACTCAATATCCTCCACAATGTCTACTCCTTTTTTAATATGTATTTTTTGCTTCTTACGGGTTTATTAGGAAATTTTGGTTGTTTTCTGTTGACTAAAGAAAAACAAGAAAGGAAATGTGGATAACCAAAGAAAATAAAATAATTAGTAGAGCACATATGGAGGATAAATCTACATTTGTTTTTAAATAAAAATAAATATATTATTGCTTTTAGTCCATATTTTTGGGGAGCTTCAAGTTGTAGTTGTTTTTAAGTTTTATTGAAGCAAAATAAGCTTAAAATCAAGGAAATTATTAAACTTGAAGCAAATACAAAAGTTTCCGGAAAGTTTAATTTGCAACTTGAATAAACTTTAAATAAACTTGAAGCAAAATAGAAAGGTTTCCGGAAATACTATTAATATTATATTGAAGGTCAGGTTTTCCGGAAAGTTTAATTTACAACCTGAATAAATAATTTGCTTCAAGTTTATTTTAAATAAATAAACTTTAAATAAACTTGAAGCAAAATAGAAAGGTTTCCGGAAAGTTTCCGGAAATACTATTAATGTTATGTATATTGAAGGAAGAGTTTCCGGAAAGTTTAATTAAAACTTAAAATAAACCTGATCTAATAAATATTTAATGTTTCCGGAAATTTTAAAATATCCGGAAACATATTATTTTGCTTCAGGTTTATTATTCGTGTTTCAAGTTTTTCCGGAAATAGTATATAAATGTTTTTTCCGGAATTTAAAAATATTAATAAAATAATGTGTTTTCTTCTAATTTTCTCCAAAATTTTTCCTTAAAATTTCTGCTAATTATTTTTTTAAAATTATTATAGCTATAAAATTTATCATTATTTTTTAAATTTATTTTTAGATCACACCCCCTATTTTTACAAAAAAATATAATTTAATTGCTTTAATTAATTTGGGTAATAAATTCTCACAAGGTATTTTTTATATTTTATTTTTCAAGGGAAATAATTAAAATATTTTGAAAAAAATTCTAAAAATATAAAAGTGCTATTAACTGATTACAATCTATAAAAATTTTGATGATGATGAATAGCAATCAAAAAATATCCCCCCAAACAATTTCTTTCCCCCACAATTTTGCGAGCGGCTTTTTAACAGCAAAGTGAAAAAGAGTAGACAAATCATTTCCCAATCATTATTATTAATGATGAGAATAATTTGAAATGAATTTAGAAACCTTTATAAAAGCGATTTTTGACAAGGTGAAGGTCTAATTTAAAAATAGGTGTGAGTAGTTAAAATAAGGAAATAATAGGGTAAATTGGTTGTGTTTCTGTACGTTACTGTATTTTTCCGGAAACGCTTCTCTGTTAATACTTTTTAAAGAATTCTCCGGAAAATGTATTTCCAATGTTTTTTGAAAGGGGTTTCCGGAAACATTTTTCTGCTATTTTATAAGTTTTCCGGAAAATGTTTTTCCAATGCTGCTGGAAAAAGCATACACTTAAAATAAAGTCTCCGGAAAACTCCGTCTATTTCTCCTGAAATGGACAAGTAATCCACACTAGTGAGTAATCTGTCAATTTGTTTAATTGACATTCAAAAATATAATCTTCCTTCACTTTCGATGAGCTACGAAAGAATTGTGGACAACCTGACTTTAATTAAATTTTAATTTAAATATAATATATTAAGTAAAATTTTGGAAAATATTTTTTTGGATTACCATTTTTTCCGGAACTGTTTTTATGAGCTTTCCGAAAATGTATCTCCAATGTTTTAGAAGTTTTTCCAGAAACACTTTTCTGTTATTTTATGAGTTTTACAAGAGAATGTTTTTCCAATGTCTCTGCGAAAAGCACTTAAAATAATCTTTCCGGAAATTCCATCTACCGTATTTACTGAAATAATTACCCACTCCCTATTAATCACCCCCTCCAGCGATAAATCTAAACAATAATTACCCCGGGTAATTATTTCAGTAAATACGGTATTTCTCTCGAAATGGACAAGTATATACTCCGTCGCGGTTAGATTTGTCAATTTGTTTAATTGACATTCAAAAATACAATGAACAACTATTATTATCCTAACCCCTTTTTCAGGGGGTTAGTCGGCGTTGGGCCCCAAGAGTG